GCGGTGTCTACAGTGGGAGAACTTCTGTGCTGAAGACATCCTTATGGGGCAAGACTTGCTTCAGTGGGACTTTGGTGCTCACTGAGTCTGCCCCCTGAGTGTGTCCCTTATGGATTTGAGTAGTTGTAATCTGGATGGTCCCACTCTGACCACTGGGTACACTGGCTCTTGGATCTCTAAGGAGGTGCTAATTTAGCCCTCTGCCTGGGCTACCCAGCAGGAGCTACAGAGAGATCTGCAGATTCCTCTTCTTTGTTTGGAGTTTGGAGGTGCCCAGATGAGGCCCAGCTGTGAAGCAATGTAAGCTGCTGTGGGGCCTTGGGCCTCCTTTTGGATGTTCTGGGTCTCTCTGACCCAGCTGCAGTTAGTTAGGTAATTTTAGATTGCAAAGGGTCAGGCCTTTCATACACAAAAGCCTCTGTGCACAGTTTGGGTGGGGCGGAGTCTCAGGGAATCAGCAGGGTGGCGCAAACAGCTATGGCTGATCCTCAGCCCTGCCCTAAGAGGCCCCGGGTCTCACTGTTCCGCAGTAATCGCTGCAAGCATCTCTGAGAGAAAGCTGCCCTCAAGTTCTGCCCGATACTGGACAGTCCAGTTTCTCCCCGTATGAATCTGGGTCCCCAGACTAGCCCGGAACTGGCATTCAGAGCCGTCGGGAGCTTGAGACTCCCTCCCGATTGAAAAAGACAACCACGTCCTCAGCCGCCAGCCCTTTCCGCATGCGCCTCCGTACCTCTGCACTTTACTTCCATACCTCCTCTGAGTCTCAGTGTGCTTTTCTCTTTCCTTCTAGTTGTAGAATTTCCACTCGGCCAGCCTTCCTGTGGTTCTGGATGATATCCGTTTTGTCTTTTAGTTGTATTTTTGAAGTGGCTGTGAGAGGCAGTAATTTCTGGTGTTTACCTATGCCGCCATCTTGGTTTCCTCCTCTGCTGTCTTAATATACTGGCAAGCATCCTTATAGGCAAATCTATGTGCACACCCATGATTATTTCCCTAAGATGAACTATGATTCAAAAGTATGCTGTCATTAACATCTTTCCATGATGTTTTTAAAGCTTATATATATATTATCAACTTTTACTCCAGAAAAAAAAGTTCACTTCTTATTTCCATTTAAGCAGAGGTGAAAGTAGTATTTCCTGGAACCCATTCCACTTTACAAATTTGATAGACCCAAAAAGGGCATTTTAATGATCTTTAGTGAACAAATAAGTTTTTAAAGGTTGAACAGTTTTACTTTAAAAATAACTTTCTATATCTCTTCTCAGTCCAGTCCATAGTATGTACAGAGTACCAGCTGTGTGCTAAGTACTCTAAAAACCAGGGATGTGGTGAACATAAAGCAGCAGTCCCTGGAGCCCAGACTAGGTGTGTGACACAGTAAGAGCCAGACTGATGAGGGTCAAGAAATGTTTTTGGAGGAACTGTCCAAACCAAGGCCTGAAGGATTATTAGTCAAGATTGCTCAGTAATCAGGTTTGGGGAGGGTTCCACAGGTACCAAGACCCAAAAGGCACCTGTATTAAGGCTGGAAACCCTGTTGCTGTCTTCAACATTGCAAACATTTTCCCAGTTGGCTTTTTAATTCGCTTATAGTGATTATGTGTAATAGTTTGGAATTTGTATGTAGTCAAATCTTTCGTTAATCTAGAAAGCCATCAGAAGTGCAGAATATTGCCCTGGCTAGTATGGCACAGTTGGTTGGAGTGTCACCTGTGCACCAAAGGTGGAGGTTTTGATTCCCAGTCAGAGCACATACCCAGGTTGCAGATTCGACCCCTGTTCAGCATGCATGCAGGAGGCAACCAATCGATGTTTCCCTCTCTTTCTCTCAGAGGAAGTGCAGAGCGTTATGTGGCTCTTGATTAGGCCCCAGGACTCTTCACTGAGATAGAGACTGCCCCCGGGTTTGGGTTCATGTTGGCATGAACTCCATCAGTTTGTCTCCAGAGTGTCTCCATCATTAGAAGTCAAGGATTCCTTGTTCTCATGTGCCTGGGCCTCAAAATGTCACTACATGACTGTTTTGGGGAGAGATTGTACTGTCACCGGGAAGAATTTAGACATCTGGGGGGTTGGGGGGAATTGTCCCAGAGCTGGAGCTGGTGCGGCCAGGGATCTCAGAGGACTGGTGAAGTCTTCTCCAGGCTGTGTGTAGACAGTGGGTGGCCAGGGTTCACAATCTTATCTGACCAGTACCCCACCTAACCAGCCACAGAGCTGCTGATTCTGGCCCATCACTGCTTCACGCTGACATGCCACATGGAGGGCATCATCCGAGTTCTACAGGCCGCTCGGCTGCTCACAGACAACCACTTGGCCCCCAACGAGGAGTATGGGCTGGTGGTAAGTAAATCCCTCATCCCCCACCTTCCATCCTAGGGAAACCTTTGAGAGCAGGTAGGCTTGGGGCCAGTCCAGGGCTGATTCTTACGGAATTTGCTCATCTGGATACCACTACCTACTTGGTAGCCAGCTGGGCAGCCCTCTGCTCCAGGCTCTAAGTTCTGTCAGAATCAGATTGTTCCAAAGGAGAAATCGAGAGGTTCCCTACCATGTTCCAGGGTGTCATCCCCCTTGCCAGAGACTACGACAGCTGTATTTCCCCCCAAAACAAGGCTCAGACCTACCTCTTACCTCTGAATTGAAGCTGACAACACAAGCCTCCTATGCCTCCCCAACTAGTCACTTTTAGAGACAACAGAGGAGAGAGCAGCAAGTGGTGTGACTAGGGTTTCTGAATCCCCCAGAAGCGGCCCTTGGTTGGGTACAAGGGAGAGGGAGCTCAGCAAGGCAGCCTGGTCATTAGCCCTTCTACCCCTGGAACTTGGCATCTGCAAGCAACCTTGATGAGGGCAGTGGTCTGGCTCAGAGAATTCCAGATGATGCTGATGGAAGCTGCCTTCCTTTTCAGGTGCGTCTCCTCCCTGGCATTGGACCAAATGGTAGCTGGGTTGATTCCCAGTCAGAGCACATACCCAGGTTGCAGATTCGACCCCTGTTCAGCATGCATGCAGGAGGCAACCAATCGATGTTTCCCTCTCTTTCTCTCAGAGGAAGTGCAGAGCGTTATGTGGCTCTTGATTAGGCCCCAGGACTCTTCACTGAGATAGAGACTGCCCCCGGGTTTGGGTTCATGTTGGCATGAACTCCATCAGTTTGTCTCGAGTGTCTCCATCATTAGAAGTCAAGGATTCCTTGTTCTCATGTGCCTGGGCCTCAAAATGTCACTACATGACTGTTTTGGGGAGAGATTGTACTGTCACCGGGAAGAATTTAGACATCTGGGGGGTTGGGGGGAATTGTCCCAGAGCTGGAGCTGGTGCGGCCAGGGATCTCAGAGGACTGGTGAAGTCTTCTCCAGGCTGTGTGTAGACAGTGGGTGGCCAGGGTTCACAATCTTATCTGACCAGTACCCCACCTAACCAGCCACAGAGCTGCTGATTCTGGCCCATCACTGCTTCACGCTGACATGCCACATGGAGGGCATCATCCGAGTTCTACAGGCCGCTCGGCTGCTCACAGACAACCACTTGGCCCCCAACGAGGAGTATGGGCTGGTGGTAAGTAAATCCCTCATCCCCCACCTTCCATCCTAGGGAAACCTTTGAGAGCAGGTAGGCTTGGGGCCAGTCCAGGGCTGATTCTTACGGAATTTGCTCATCTGGATACCACTACCTACTTGGTAGCCAGCTGGGCAGCCCTCTGCTCCAGGCTCTAAGTTCTGTCAGAATCAGATTGTTCCAAAGGAGAAATCGAGAGGTTCCCTACCATGTTCCAGGGTGTCATCCCCCTTGCCAGAGACTACGACAGCTGTATTTCCCCCCAAAACAAGGCTCAGACCTACCTCTTACCTCTGAATTGAAGCTGACAACACAAGCCTCCTATGCCTCCCCAACTAGTCACTTTTAGAGACAACAGAGGAGAGAGCAGCAAGTGGTGTGACTAGGGTTTCTGAATCCCCCAGAAGCGGCCCTTGGTTGGGTACAAGGGAGAGGGAGCTCAGCAAGGCAGCCTGGTCATTAGCCCTTCTACCCCTGGAACTTGGCATCTGCAAGCAACCTTGATGAGGGCAGTGGTCTGGCTCAGAGAATTCCAGATGATGCTGATGGAAGCTGCCTTCCTTTTCAGGTGCGTCTCCTCACTGGCATTGGAAGGTACAATGAGATGACATACATTTTTGAATTGCTGCATAGAAAGCACTACTTCGAAGTGCTGATGAGGAAGAAGTTGGATCCGGTAGGTGTATGGTATTTTGAGCTCCAGGATGACATGTACTGACTTTCAGGAGTCTTACACTTTCTTAGAAATAACCCCAATCAGAGTAAACCCCTGGGATATGCAGGGAGCGAATTAAGGGCCTCCCTAGGATTTGTACTGTAACCAGTATTGTAAGGTTACAGATTTCAGACCAGATAGTGAATGTGGTAAGAGATGCTAACTAGTGAAGAAAGTAAGTTTGTGCATATTCACCTCAGCTATCACCTGCCTCTGCTATCTAGTGTCTGCTCTGACAGGGGCAAACACCTTTTCTGAGCCATGCAGAAATGGACTGACCAGCTCGGAAGGCCATGTCTGAGGGCTAATTTTACAGTGGAGTTCTCAGGGGACTATAAAAGAGAGTGTTGCTGAGAGCTATTAGGAAGTGAATGCCAAGGCCTGGGCCTGGGAAGCTGTGGAGCTGTTTATGATGGTGACCAGAAAGGAGGCTTGGAAGCAAAGGCCAGATTTGCCAGGCGTTTGGACTCTGGGCGTTTGTCTGTCCTCCGCATGCTTATGTGATGCCCAGCATGTCACTCAGAGCCTGTTTTCAAGTCACTTATTTGGCAGAGTCATTGCTTCAGCCCATTTCACCTCTGAGGATTTAAAAACCACAGTACACTTTTGGCTTCTGGGAACTTGGGATGAGCCAAGCAGGATTAAGAGACAAAGCAGAAAAATCCTCCTCAGTGCGGATTTTCAGGACAGACCAGCTAGTCATCAGGACACAAGTCCTGAACATCTTTAAGATCTCCCAAAGGGTATTTAAATTGTTTTTGAGGCATTTTTGTTTCTACATTTAAATATTCTCTTTTAATAACTTTCTTATTACAAAAGTAATGCATATTCAAAGTTAAGACACTTGGAAAACAGAACACAGAAAAAAGCCCTCTGTGTCTACCATGTGGAGATAGCCACTGCTAACATTTTGGTATAGGCCCTTCCTTTGCATACATACTCACAAACATATAAACATACATACTTAATTTTTTTAATAAAGCTTTTATCATGCTGTCCAAATGAGTCTGCCTTTCTCACTTGATGAACAGGTTATATTTCCCAAATCAACATCAGTTTAAATGGCTACAAGGTATTTTCCTTAATCCTTATTTTGAACATCTGCATTATTTTTAATTGTTTGCCATTATATATCCTTGTTACATCCATCTTAGCACTTCTGCCTGCTTATTTCTTTAGGGATGGATCTAGAAATGGAGTTGTTAGAATAACACGTGTGCATTTTTAAGGTTTCCCCCTTCTGACAGGTTTTACTGTTCATACTCCCAACAGCAAAGAGGATGTACCTGTTTCCTTATATTCAGGATAGCATAAACTTTTATATTAATTTTTCTTTTCCTTTTTCTTGGGTGTTTAAGGAACTTGAAGAACCAAGGGACTCAGCCAGGCCTGCCTGCCGTGCAGTCCCTAGTTGAGACCTTGGTGTTTCCTTTTTTTCTGGGCAGAGTGGTACCCTGAAGACAGCCCTACTTGACTACATCAAACGCTGCCGCCCTGGGGACAGTGAGAAGCACAACATGATTGCCCTGTGCTTCAGCATGTGCAGGGAAATCGGGGAGAACCATGAGGCAGCTGCCTGCATCCAGCTGAAACTGATTGAGTCTCAGCCCTGGGGTGAGCAGAGGTCACAGTAGCACCCTCAGGGATGGTTCTTAGGGCTTAAAAAGACAGGAGCTCGTTGTATTGACTAAATCCCACCTCAGTTTCTAGCAGCTACTGAATGCCACCCCAGCTGGGCAGGTAAGTGATGTAAGGGGACCTGGAAGGCATTTGTCTGCCCTGTAGCCTGAGTGTCCAGGTCATCTGTCAGGAACCAATGTGTATGCTGATGCCATGTAAGCCTGCCTTGATGTTTCAGAAAGAAATGAAGAACTAGATGGGGCACTAAATTCTATTCCAGGCTGTACTTCTGGCCCAATACCCTCTAACTGAGACATATCTGCTCCCTGTGAACACGAGCTGGGATATTTCTAGTCCAGCCGGTGATCACTCTGATGCGGTGGAGTAACCAGCCTTGGGAGTCAGGCACACTCCCATTTCTTTTACTCCTTTGCAGAGGACAGTATCAAGAATGGGCACCAACTGAAGCAGCTGCTACTGAAGGCCCTGACTCTCATGCTGGATGCCGCCGAGAGTTATGCAAAGGTAACCATGGAGTCTTAGTTTAAGCTAGTTTGCAGCTTGGTACCTTTGGGAATTTTGTCCCTGGGCTCTCCCAAGGGAGTCATGGGGCAATTGGCAGCAGAAGGGGGAGGGGGGCTCAGTTGCTGGAGGCTTCATTGGGAGATGATGGCAAAAGTTCACTTTTGGATCCCTCCACCTGTCCCTCAGGATTCCTGTGTGCGACAGGCCCTGCACTGTCGCAGGCTCACCAAGTTGCTGACACTGCAGATTCACTTTCTGAACAATGGCCAAAACACAATGCTTATCAACCTAGGTCGCCACAGGCTGATGGACTGCATCATGTCCCTACCTCGGTTCTACCAGGTAAGCACGGAAGAAAAATCTAGCCAGCACTGCCAGCATCCTCTCTCCTGCTATCCGTCTAATGGGGCTAAGATTGACTTGTCTAGTCTCAGGGTTAGTGTCAGAACCAGGACAGTTCAGCTCTCCAGACTTAGCTGTCTGACATACAAATTGCCTTTTTTTGTAGTATTTCTTGCTAGCATGTTTGGACAAAGGTTGGAGAATGGTGAGACACATTGTTAGGCCAGCAGGAAGGCAGACACTTTCGCCCCTTAGACAGGAGAGGTTCAGAAGAACATCCCTGCTAGGGGTTCAGCAAGCACCTCTTAGCCGCAGTGTTTTACAGAATGGTGCACCGGGGTTAGCACAGGGGATCAGGGCTATTGGGGGCCTGGTTTCAGTCCTGTAATGAGAGATGGTTTCAAGAAATTGGCCCTTTCACTGTTTCTTACACAGTTTAGTATGAAAAAGACGTTTTTCAGCAGTTTTACTAGTATTAATCCACTCAAGGAAAGACTGTGTTTTGGGGCTTTAGGGGAAGCAAAATGTCAAACTGACACCAATTCTGATAGACGGAGCCTTTTAGTATGATTGATAATGATCAATGTATATGCAGCATTAAGTTTTCTAGAACTATCTGCCTTCAATTTTACATCAGATAGGCTCTAATGGTGTTCTTCCCTCCATTCTTTTAAGGCTTCTATTGTGGCTGAGGCCTATGACTTTGTTCCTGATTGGGCTGAAATTCTATACCAACATGTGATTCTTAAAGGAAACTTTCATTACTTGGAAGAATTTAAGCAGCAAAGGTTATTAAGAACCAGTATATTTGAAGAGATTTCAAAAAAGTAAGTATTAAAACGCCTGATTTGGATAAGGCATGGGTAATAATTTTATGGCTAAGTATAACATGCCACCCCTGTGCTTGAGATGACAAAGAAATGTCAAGAATCCCCAGGAAGATCTTTTTGGAAAAAGATGAGTGAAAACACTTCGCTTATGGTGCTCTGTACTTAAAATGGGAGGACAGTTACTCAGCTAGCCTGAGGTGCCAAAAATCCTAAACATCAGAGGTCCCCTTTGGAGTATTAACTTATTCCAATTAAGGTAAGCAGTAAGGCACTCATTTTTAAGAAATAATGTCAGTCTTCCACTGTAGGTAATTGTGTCAGAGCTGATAGCCCTCGCTCAAGATACATACAGTATCTTAACCTGTACATTCCTGTTTCTTTGTCTAGATATAAACAACACCAGCCTACTGATACAGCTGTGAAAAACCTGAAGAAGTTACTCACATATTGTGAAGATATCTACTTGTATTATAAGCTGGCATACGAACACAAACTTTATGATGTTGTGAATATGCTTCTGAAGGACCCTCAGACAGGCTGCTGTCTAAAGGACATGCTAGCAGGTTAGATGGGTTCTCATACAGGTGCCTGTTTTCTTATACTGCAACGAGGTACCGTCAGATGTTTGTGATTACAGTAGAATAATGCATTGGGAGCTTTGTTGTCCAAGTTATAAAATCCAGAACTGATCATACCAGTCCTCTGTGGGTCAAGAATGAGAGAGTTTTCACAAGGAAATTACTATTTTAAAAGTGATGTTTCTCTGTACCATTTTATATAGATACTGGTATTAAGTTCAAAACTCCCATCTTCCTCAGGATGGCTTTTACTTTAGGACATGATATAATATTGATTAAAGAATACCTGTGCCTGCAGATTCCAGTTTCAAAGGAATTTAATATTATTTACACAGTTAAGGAACAGATGATACATTTCCATTAGTTAGAAACTGATCTCTATAATAAAATAGATTTTAAATTCAGTGCATGTCATTATTAACTGCTAAGGAAATCTTAGCCCTTGTCTGCCTTAAAACAATTTTTATTGGCTGTAATTATTGCTGTGTAGTCACTGCTTTCTGTTAATTTCTCAAATTATTTGGATGGTCCTGTCTTCCACTTAGTGCTCTACAGAGTTTTGATTGAGACACCCTCCCCTTTGTATGTAAGAGAAATTAAAAAAAAAATAATTTAATTGTTCTGTCCCTACTTTTGAGTCTGTGACAGTTTTAAAAATTTAACAAATTTGGTTAAATTGCTTAAAAATATATATGTAATAAAGATGACTCAATCTATGCTCACAGCCATACCTGAGTTATAAGCTCAATTACTCCAATAAATAGTTCTAGGTACCTTAGACCTTACATACAAATTGCCTTTCTATAGTAACTAAACCACCAAATAATTTTTCCCCAAATAAATAAAATGAGGAAGGCAGCCCTATACCTTTGTTGCTCTAGGGTGACCCTGTTAAGGGCCTGACAAATCATTTTTGTTTTAAAGCTATTAACTACTCATCAAGCATTTATTAAGCTTTGTTAAGTATATAGAGCACTCTAGTCCCAAGAGCTGTGCTCTATACTCTCCAAAAGTATCTCTTGGGAGATAACACAAAATTTAAGTCCTCACAATAGTGATTTTATTAAATTAGTTGCTTTATAAAACATTGCAGATGTCATAATTGTTAACATAACAATTTACCAAACTAGTTAACTGGTGCAGCTTGCTGAGCATGTTTTATAAAGGAAAGGAAATGCCAAAACCCTGTTTAAAGTTATTCCATTGCAGCCCAGAAGAACAAAGGAGATTTGTTCCTCAGACACTCCAATCACGCAAATAAAGCAGATAGGGTTTCCCTCCCCCATCTGAAGCAATTCATCAGTAGAACAGTCTGATAGACAGTATGCACTCAAGAGATTTCACAACTTGTAATACAATAACGGAGAGCTTTACCTTCTTCAGCTTCAAAGTGGAGGGTTTTGGTCAATTTTTAAGTATCAGACTAGTAGTTTTCAGCCGCCGTATCTTCACTCTGACAAAAGCAGTCTTCTTCACAATGTATGTTTAATATCCTCACGCTCAATTTTAAGACAAAGCAATTTTAATACTAGGTGCACATCACATGCCCTTGCTGCAAACTGCTTTTCTTGACAAGTTATGAAGTAGTTCAAGGAGGTATGGTTAAGGCTGTATTACTGAATGGTGCTGGTCAATACTACACAATTTCTTGTCATGTTGCAACCTTTGTTTCCAATTTAGTGACTGCTGCTATAGAATCAGATAGCAACAATGACAACATTATTAAGTTTGTGTGTTTTTTAAAACTATGATTTAGTAGCAACTGAGGTTCCCAATTTTAACCCCTTGGCAGCGAGATCCAAGTTCCCTCATTTGCACATTAGCACCTAAGTGTCAAGGGGTTAAGTAACCAGCACAAAAGATACTGCACTTCTGATTGTAGCATTTGGCAGAACTGAAAGGAAAGGAAGTTGTGCTACATGTTGAAGGGATTGTGGGCAACAGAAAGAAGACACCAGAGAAGATAAAATGTCACATGAAATCTTCAAAGTCTTGTACATATCCTCCATCATAACCACCATAATCTGCCAGATCGTCTTTCATGGTGGCCTTTAATCCCCCTCCAGGAACCACACCTTTCTTCTTCTTTTTGGCTTTGCTTTGCTAAAGATAAAAGAGAGTCAATTCATGAGACTTGATCTACCAAGTGTTTCTTATCTGGTATAGCAACCCTCAAAGAGACACCAAAGCCTCTGGTCACAGAAAAACTTCAGTTCTTTAAGGGAGATTCCCAGACAACCCAGGGCAATTTCTACTAGTAATTCAGAAACCAAGACACTGAACATGTTTGTTTGGGAAAAAAAAAAAAGTAAAAGTCACTCACACTCACACTGTTCTATTCCAATTTAAATGGTATTGGTAAACTGCTTGACCTTTAAGTTTCCCAGGCTTGTTAAGAATGTTATGCCTGCACCACCATCCTAATGAAATACACATTGCCCCACACAGCTTGCTCTTACCTTTTCTTGCTTCTGTTTCTCACTACAAAGCACAGTCAGTGAATTGGTGATCTTTTTCAAGTCATCAATTTCCACTATAAAAGAAAAAGTATGCCACTAATTTTTAATCATTTTGGGGAATAAGGCAAGATATACATTCTTCCCCATGTGCTATGAAAAATCTAATTTGTCTATCATTAACTTCTGTATCTTTGAAAAGGCTGTAATTCTCCTGTTTGACATATGGCCAGGCATACAAATCAGAACTATTAAAAACTAGAGGCCCGGTGCACGAATTTGTGCAGTAGTGGGGTCCCTTGGCCTGCAGCATCCCCTAGGGTTCCTGGATTACAAGAGGGTACAGGCCAGGCCAAGGGACCCCACTGGTGTGCAATCAGGGTCAGGGAGAGATGCAGGAGGTTGGCCAGCCAAGGAGAGACCGTGGGAGGGCTCCAGGGCGTGTCCAGCCCATCTTCCTCAGTCCCGATTGGCCGGACCCCAGCAGCAAACTAACCTACCAATTGGAGTGTCTCCTCCCTGGCAGTCAGTGCACGTCAGAGCGAGCGGTTGAGTGGCCTTAGCATATCATTAGCATATTACACTTTGACTGGTTGAACAGCTGACCGGACACTTAGCATATTAGGCTTTTATTACACATACAAGAGGCCCGGTGCACAAAATTTGTGCACAGGTAGGGTCCCTAGGCCTGGCCGGCAATCAGGGCCGATCTGTGGGGCAACTAGCAGGGTGATCAGGGCCCCCTACTCGCACCCACCTTGGCCAGCCTGGCCCTGCCCCCCTGCCACCAGTCGCCTTCCTCTGCAGGGCGATTGGGGGGAGGGTCCCCACTGGCACCCGCCTTGGCTGGGCAGGCACTGCCCATTTGCTGGCCCCACCCCCCACCTCCCTCTGCAGGCTGACTGGTAGGGCGATCGGGGGTGTGGGGTGGAGGGCCCCCAGCTCGCATCCACCTTGGCTGGCCTGGGGCCTAGGGGAAACTCCTGCGTTGAGTATCTGCCCCCCCCGGTGGTCAGTGTACATCATAGCAACTGGTCGTTCTGCCATTCACTCATTTGCATATTAGGCTTTTATTATATAGGAGGTGTGTGTGTGTGTGTGTAGCCAGTGTCCGTGATGACCAAATGACCAGTCACCATGAGATGGTCCCTCCCCCCACTCACCCTCCCACCCGTGAGCAGGGCAGGGCAGGACTACGGACTGGCGAACAGGCAGAATGGCTGACCTCTTGGTCCCTGCCCCTGGCCCGCAGGCTCCGATGGATCAGAGATGGTGAACGGGGCAATCAGGGTGGGTAGCGGGAGGACCGGGCTGGCTGTCAGGCCGTTGGGATCACCAGCTCATCCCTGGCTGCTCGGAGGCTCAGGCCTGCGTTAAAGCAGGCGCTGGTGACTTCACCTCCATGCACATGCGCCGAGCCAGCCACTGAGGGAACCCGCTGCCCGCTCAGGCCTGGGCGGGTAGGTCGCGGGTGTGCCCCGCAGCTTCCATCAGGACCTCAAGCCCCAGCAGCAGCGGCGGCACCCGTGTGAGCGGCCCCAAGTGGGCAGCGTGTTCTATCAGTGGCCAGCCCAGGGCACGCACATGGAGGTGAAGTCACCAGTGCCTGCTTTTCCACAGGCCTGAGCCCCTGAGCAGCTGGGGATGAGCTGGTGACCCCAACAGCCTGACCGCCCGGTAGCGGAGGTGGTGTTCGGCCTTGGGACTGCTAAACGGGCAGGAAATGGCCCTGATCACAGGAGGCTAGGCCCTAGGACCCTACCTGCATGATTTTGTGTGCGGGGCCTCTAGTATAGAATAAAAATGGCAAACTCAGCAACAAAAATTTATCTTTATAATGACCTGTTATCACCAAGACACCAATGCTAACCAAAGAGAAACTAAGTATCTTTACAGCTCAGTGTTCCCTCCTATTCTCCTTTCCCCACCAAAAATACAGATAACCATGCCCTTCCATCATATCCTTGATGCTCAGTGAATGAACATGGAATAATAATTATTAAACCTTCAGATGACAACTCCCCACCTCCTGGAGTCTCCATTTTCTAACACAGGAACTAGAATGAAAGTAGTAGCTATCTCAGAAATCTGTGTCCTACCAGGAGACAACATCTTTTAGTGAACAATATATCCTCCTATCTTTATAAAAATATTAAGCTGAAAACAGTTTTTAGCTACCAAAAAAGTAACCAGTTTTGATTAGGGAGCTCGTTCAAAAACAGGAAAAATAGTATATGCAGAAAAGACCAACTCTGGGGATATAATAACTCATCAAATAACCCCCAACTTAGTAATAATTTCTCAAAACCCAATTTAAAATCCATTATGTAAAATTCCTTTTCCTCAATCTTAAAAACAGTAAATACTAGCAAAACCGGTCCCTTACTGTATTGGTGCTGCACCACCCATGGTTGTCACTCCCACATCCAGCCTCTGAAATACGTGACTGACTCCTCTCTCAGGGCACAGCACCACACCCATGGGCCCAGAGAATAGGTGCTAGCTCTGTTGAGCAACTTGCACCTGGTCATAGGCTTCTTCATTTATAAAAGGAATTTACAATTGCTGTGATCTCAGCTCTAAAATCTTATATGCCCAGAGAGCATTTTCCCCAAAAGACACTTCCTAGCCCCTTTCAAGATATAATTGGATAAAAGAATAAGCTAGTGCTGTATTAGCTGCAACAAATCTCAGATGTCTCCTTGGGAAACCATTGTAAAAACATTAAGAAGGCAGCCTCAAAAAGGAACAAAATCATTCAAACTAATTGCATGTTTGTAAAACACCATTCTCATAGTAACTACTAAAAAGTAAATACTAAGTCTGTATATTATAGCATTCCTCCTCCCAGCCCCGCAAAAAGTCAACCTCCATCTTCTTGAGTGTGCCCTTACTAAAATCCACGCGCAGAGGCTAGAGATTAGAATTACTTACATGAAATACACACA